CTATAACCCATAACACACATGGTAATGCCCAAAATGCTGGCATTGTTCTTCCCAGGACACCAATGTCTATCTGAGATCAAATTACAAAGGAGACACTGTCTCTTTTGTGCCCACCTGCCTTCTTTTTGGTGTGATCATGAGGATTTCATTTGGGCAAGGTCTTTTTTTAAAAATCCTATTTATTTGTTTATTTTTGGCTGCGCTGGGTCTTCCTTGCTTCACACAGGGTTTCTCTAGTTGCGGCAATTGGGCTACTCTCTAGTTCTGGCGTGTGGGCTTCTCAATGTGATGGCTTCTCTTGTTGCGGAGCATGGGCTCTAGGCTTCCAGGCTTCAGGGGCTGGGGCACGTGGGCTGCAGAGCCTGGGCCAGCAGTCGGGTTTAGTTGCCCCGAAGCATGTGGGGTCTTCCCAGATCAGCGATCGAACCCATGTCCCTTGCACTGGGGAGGCGGATTCTTAGCCACCTGACTACCAGGGAAGTCCCTGGACTAGGTTTTAAGGATCGAATTTCTATAGTTGGAGATAATGGGGTGGGAATTTCAGATGAAGGGGGGAAAAGTGAACAACTGCTTCTAGACCTATATTCTTACAAAGGACTAAAAATCTCAGAGGCTTTTCTAAATGTAAAAATTCACACAGATTCTTCTTCTTGTTTTCAAGAGGGCTTTTTAGCGTTTTTCACAGAGCAGATGAGCCGGTTGTCTTTGCTATGTGAAGTATGGTGCTGACAGGCAAGGGCCCAGGTTTAAGCCCCATGTGAGTCCTGTGGCTTTACCCAGAGAAGGTGATTCTGTTCTTACAGGCACAGGGAGTGCCTCAGACCGTGGTAGTTTCCATGAAAACCTCCCTCCAACTGGAAAAATAACCCACCCCCTCAAAATAGTCAAAGCACATTTCCTGCCAAAAAGTAGATCTGTAAAACCACCTCCTTGTCGTCTCTTTCTTGCCTCATCCTTTTTTCGTCTTGATCATGAACACTGCCCTCCAATCATACAGGGAGTCGGTCATCTAAATACACCACGAAGACTGTCTTCCATCGCCTGTTCTTTCTGGGTGTGGGAGTGAAGAGCAGAGAACAGTCCTCTTTCAGGGCAGCATCTGGAATAACCAGTAACAGATGCAGGAATGAATCATCATCCTCAGGGAGCCTGTCTGCCTCCAAGCTGAGAGCGTCAGTCAGGAGGGCTGGCTGAATCTACCAGCTGACTGCCTGCTATGTTGCCAATCGAGTCCCTTCCCCAAATTGTCAGCTGTTTGCCACAGTGCCTGGAATTTCACCATGAGCTTCAACAACTGGCTTGTGAGAGCTGGTTACTTGACTCTTAGCAGGGCTAGAATGGTTGCCCTATGGTTTTCTATGACCTGGCAGGGTCTCCAAGGAGGGAGTGGGCTCACAGATTATTTATTTGGAACAACAAATTCATTCAACAGACATCTGAACTAACAGCATACTTGAGAGTCAGCTGTGATGAAGGCACTTTGTGGTGGTTGAGAGAAAGAAGAGGAAGGAGCCCAGCCCTTGTCTTCAGCTACAAAGTCCTCATTCCTGAAACACCAAACATAAAGGGGCCTAACCTGTCCAGAACCATAACAGGTACAGGCCAGGTGGATGCAATATCAAAAGGCTGGCTTCACTGGCACGGTGGAGAGAGCGCCTTTCACACGAGTCACCCTCCCTCTCTTGACATGCTACCCCTGAAGGCTGGTATAGCTTTCCCCCTAGCAAAAGTGAAGGAATTTAGGCTTCACCAGGTTTTGAGCACTTCTGTGGTGGCCAGGTGTCTGACCACAGCGTCCCACTTCAGGTGCACCTGACTTCAGTGCCTCTGGACTTTTCCCCAAAGCCACTGGGTCTTGGCAGCCCCCAGGTGTCCCAGAAATGCCCCCAGGGCAACCTTGAACCTTGGGGGATAGCCTTGCTGTTTGTGTCTCTGTTAATAGTTTTTAAAGGAAGGCATTGATCTGGGGAGAGGAGCCCCAGGACAGCAACTGTTAGCCAAGATGCCAGCTGTATAATGGAAATATTGGTGATCATCTTGGGTATCCAGTTATTACACTGAAAAAATTAATGTTGTGTTTTACTAACAAGTAATTTAGATTTTAATAAATTACAGCCATAAACCCAATTTATTATCAATAACCCAGTGATAACCTTAGATACATTACTCTAATGTTAAGAGATTTTAAAAAAGGTAAAGGGACCACTGTTCTGTGTCTCTATTCCATCCCATGGGGGGTGATGGGGGATAATCTCAGGTAAGTTTTTTTCCTTTGATGCCCCTGTATCTTTATCTGTAAAGAGGGGACAATAATGTAAAATATGTAACATTGATTCATTTCTTCATTCATAATTCACTCATCAAATAGTCACTTGAAGCCTTACTCTCAATCAGGAGGCATTATTGTTCCCAAGAGTAAACAAGACAGATAAGGATCTCCCTATTGTAGAATTTACTTTCTAGCAGGGACTCAAGAACCCTTCTGAGAAATCAGTTGAAATGGCATGCACCAAGAAAGAACTCCACAGTTCAAGACATTGAAACAGTTTAATTCTTAGGTAAAGCAGTTTTTGGTATGTGTCTCTATACAGTCTCTAAGAAAAGTATTGTGGGAACAAACAGCAAATACCTCAATAAGATGCTGATGAATAAAGAAATGCTGTTTGGAACAGTGCAAGGTTTTAAAGCATTTCAGAGGGTCAGTGACCACATGATCGTCTCTTCATTTTGTAAAGAGCCCACTGGCTAAGTCAAATCCACAAAGAACAAGGCAAGATGCCTCTATCCAAATTCTTGTCTAAGATGATTAGCGCTAGAATCATCCCACTATTTTACCTTATTACATATTTGGAGTTCAGCTATCTTTACTTCTCTGAATCTACTTATCTATCTATACATCTGTTTATCTCCTAATTGCAGCAAAATTATTTAATTCCTTTGAGTTTCTTATTATAACATGGAAGAAATTTTCTTTTAGCTACCTCTTATTACCCAGATCATGGATTTTACATAGCTTGGCTGATATCCCTGATTTGTTTCATATTGCATTTATATTATGACTTCTCTGGTAATAAATTATATTTGATCTAAACACTTAATTGGGTTATGCTTTTTTGCAAAGACCATTTGTTTTTGCAATTGCTGTGAAAACCAGGTGGGACCAAGTTTCTAACAGCACTGAACTCTTTCTATGTGAATTTCAAAGCAACTTCGAAGATGTTAATTTCAAGAATACATCTTGAAACATCACCCACCTTATTAAACAAGTGTTTGAGGTAAGAAAGAAGGATTCAGATTGGACCTATAGAAATAGACTAGTACCGAAAATCTCAACCTCCTGGCTTGATAAGTAGTCCTTCAAATACTGGGCAATCCCAGCTATTATTTGGTGATTTTTTCCCCTGTTTTTCAATATGGTATGCTAATAACACTTGATAGCAATATCTTTTATTGTAGAGCTTATCACATTCATGACATTCTAAAATTATTTTCTAAGGAATTTTGAGCCAGAAGATAAAGCTATCACACATTTAAAACAGAACTTCGCAAGTTATTGCTACAACTGTGTTCAGAATTATCCAAGAGTTTTATTATTATTATTATTTGAGGTAGCATTGATATTTATAACACTATATGTTTCAGAATTATCCAAGTGTTACTTCAGAGGCAATGACCCTAAGTAACAGCTGAAATGCAGTTTTTTTTTGTTTTAAAAGTGGACATTTAATTCTCATCTGAGCCCTGTTACAATCTTGTTCAAACCAGCCAGACAGTACAGCAGATGAGGACTCGGTATAATTTTAATGGCTGTGCTCTGAGACATACTTCAAAACGGCACACCTGATCCCCCACACTATTGGGATGCCGCTTCTCTGCCTTTGAAAACTTCCTGCTGCCCTTCCGTTTGTTTGCAAACCTCAAGCAGCCTAGAGTTTTTGTGATTTCCGAGACTCCAAAAGGAATCTTGGAGAAAGCAAAGGCCATGCGACAGGTTTGGGGAAGAAGTCTTCACCTGCAAAAGCAAAACGAAGTTCAGGTTTACTAGCCCGCGGGCCGCAGATGCCCGCCAGGCAGTTCTTAGCTCCTTTTTAGCGAAAGGCTACCTGATACTTCACTTTGCTCCTCTCTTTGGGAGCCGCGGAAATTTATATTCTTTCAACTCTCTAGACACTAGTCCAGTGTCCCCAGCTCGTATCTTTTGCGTCCTCACTGCCCCGAGCCCACCCCTTCTATCAGCTCACCGCGCCAAGACCCTGGTCCAGGTTTGGGGACAGTCAGAGAAAGATTAAAAAGATGGCTCAGTTGGGAAAGGAATAAGAATAAGGTGGCCTGTGGCTTCGTCCAGAAATGCCGGTATTACTTAGGCACATCGGCGGGACAAAAGTTTCCTTTGTCAAACTAGTGACCACGTGGCGCTATGGCGGTCACCACCAGCAATCCCATCAGACTGCCAGGCGCGGACCTGGGGACGCGCCAGTCATCTCCTGCGCTGGCCAAGGGGAGCCCCGAAAAGTGGGGGCACCGCGGGAACATGAGAGAGCCAATCTGGAGGAAGCAACCAGGCGTAAGAAGGTAGCTCCGGGAGCTGCCCGAAGGGCGGCGTTCCCAGCGGTGGGCTGGTGCGGGATGCGCGACGCGGGGTTCCCTGGGTCGGGGCGCCAAGTCTGGGGTCCCGGGGTGTGAGTGCTGGGGGCAGGTTCCTGGGGGTAGAGGAGCGCGGAGTGCCAGGCTCCAGAAGCAGTGGGGTACAGACCGCGGCCTTCCCAGGGTGGGGGCGCGGAGGGCGGAGCCCTCGGAATGGGGCGGGGAGGGGCGGGGCCTCGGGAGCTGGGCGGGCTCGGAGGCGGGGTTCCTGGGGCGGCGGGGCCCGGGCTCCCGGGGGCGGAAGGGCGCTGTTCGGGGGGCGGGGCGGGGGCGGCGCTCGGGCCGCTGGGCTGGGGCTGGGGCCTGGGCCAGGGCCCTGGCCAGGGCGGGGGTGGAGAGCTGCGGGCTGGCAGGGCATGGCGTCCATGGCGGCGGCGATTGCGGCCTCGCGCACGGCCGTCATGAGCGCGAACCGGCCTCTGGACGACCGGGAGCGGAAGCGCTTCACCTACTTCTCGTCGCTAAGCCCCATGGCTCGGAAGATCATGCAGGACAAGGAGAAGATCCGGGAGAAGTACGGGCCCGAGTGGGCGCGGCTGCCGCCGGCTCAGCAGGACGAGATCATCGACCGGTGCCTGGTGGGGCCGAGCGCCCCGGCGCCCGGTGACCCCGAGGAGCTCGGGCGCTTCCCCGGCTTGCGCGGGCCCACGGGCCAGAAGGTGGTGCGCTTCGGGGACGAGGTAGGTGCGGACGGGCCGGCGGCCCCTCCACCCTTCTCCGGCTACGCGATGCGCCCGCGGCCGGGCAGACACCTGCCGGCTAGCAGCCCTCCCTTTCAGACGCGCGGGCAAGGGGCTGGAGAGAAGGCGCAGGAACCCGGGTGGGTGGAAGGGGCGGCCTGGAGCCGGAGGTCGGGGCCTGGGGGGCTCCCCGGGGGAGTCTGTGGAGAACCGCCGAGAGAAGGAAGGAGGTCATTCAAGACCCTCCATCTAGACCTGCCCCGACGGGCCGCATTGGACACGAGACTTCTCCCAGAGCTGGAGGCAGTTTTTGGTAGCGAGGCAGACCAAATTGGCCGCAGCAGGGGATTTTAAGCCAGGCCAGCCTAGGTTCTAATCTATTCTGCCATTTAGCTGTCTGGCCGTGGGTGACCTAACCTTTTAGAGCCTCAGGTACCCCCAAGAATAATAATACCCACCTCAAGCCTGCTGGGGAAGGTAGTCATTTTATACATAATAATATTGTTAATATTTGATGAGTTGTGCGGAGAGAGTGAAATTGTCAAGCAAGATAACAATAAAGAGGTGCCTTCCGAGACTTCCCAAAGCCTAAGATGTTTCCGAGTGAGCCCATGTGCAGTTTTGTTTTGGGAGTGAGTGTGGTGGCCCCTCTTTTCCGTTAAAAAACACTGGATACGTTTAAATGAGCTGTTGCAAACCTTTGGTACATATAAGGGCATGTCTGGGCCTCTGACCTAGACACTCTGCTGGGACTTCTAGAGGGATGTTCACTGGAGGAAGAAACCCTGAAGCTAGAAAAAACTCAGGGATGACCCATGGAAACTCACAAAGGCCTGAGTGTTCTGTGCTGCTCAGAAAGTTGGCTTTTTCCTGGAAATGTGTTTAACTAAAACCTGTTTGGTGCCAAATTTGTGGCTCTTGGGCTTTTCAAACTCAACTTTTGGTCCAAGTCGAAAGCAGCAAGCAATATACAATGAAATCCGCATGCTTTGAGGCTGCAAGGATGAGGGGCCTAGCTTGGAGAGATTTTCTGAGGAAGCTGTGGACTGCAGAAGGAATTCTAGTGGAGATAGGTTTTAATCTGATTTTCAGGCGTGGGTGTGCGGAAACGTTGATTAATACAAAATGTTTGTGGTCATAAACCCGCTTTAATGTGAGAGATGTGCGAGAGGCAGAAATATGCTGCCCACATGGCTTTATTCTGAGAGGATGAAAAGTCTTCATTAGATTTTAAACTCTAAAGGCTTTGCCAGGAAAAACGAGGGTGTGGTAATGGAATGGATGAGAATATACATTTAAAATGTAATCCCAGAGCTGAAACATATTTAATGTGAAAATAAGCATCTCTAAAGATGTTTGCAGTGTTGATGCTCAGATTTGGGTGATGGAAAAGCAGTCAGCCCCTCTTGGAAACATCATGAGTAAATAAACTGTGAGAGGAAATAAACCTGCAAGTACTTACAGATGTTGGAGAGTCACTGTCATTTTCCCTTAGCTAGCTGCCTGGCTAAGAATATCCACATGCCTGTTCATCATCAAAAGGCCTGTGCCATATTGCTGATAAGATATGACCAAGTGGATTGTGTACTCCGATTTCTTAACTGGGTACCAGACTGAGCCATTTGTGAATTTGTAAACCCAAAGCAATTTAACAGCCAGTAGAACTTTTTGTTGTGGTACTTGCATATTCTTCCAGGCGCACAAGAGCCCTGTTTTTCAGAACTGAACTTAGCTTTGCAAAACGGCCTGCCTAGGAGCATGATCTGCAAACCTCCTGCCAGGCTCTCAACATGAGTGGCAGAGACACAGTGAGTTTGAAGAAAGGTACAGAGGAACATTGCCCAGAGCTTTTTGTCTTTTGGGCTACCGTGATTTAATCCCACTAGAGAGTTTAAAGTGTGTTACATCGACTTGGCACCAGACTCGAGTTGGTGGTCTCATGCCCAGGAGTACAGTTGTTCTTGGAGGAGGGTTGGCTCCTGGGCACAAGGGGTGATGATGGGGACAGGGTGGGGGTACCCCCCTGTAGGCTGCTGGACAAAGTAGCCTGAATAGGTGGCCCCAGGCTTACCCAAAAGGGCCCTGAACCAGTCTGAGTCAGCTGCTCTGTCCCTTCCTGTTTAATCTGCCTTTAGATGTAGTCTCTGTGGCCTCCACAGCCAGTCTTGGAACAGAGACGGCTCCTTGGGCTCCGCCACTGCCAGCATCCACAGTTGGCTCAATGAAGGTTGGGTGCTCAGGTGGACCCCAGCTCTTGCTTTAGCTAGTGTCTGACCTTGGATGACAATCAGGGGGGGCCTCGCTGATACTTGGGAAAGACCACCTGGGATTCTGGATTCCGAGGGACTTTCCTAAGGCTGTAATAGGAGGCACCTGGGCTTGGTTGTGAGTCTTGGGTTTGCTTTGGCTCCCCATTAACTAACTTTTTGACTGTGGTAATTCATTAATGTCTCTGAACTCCTACAGTGGGAAGAACAGTAACAGGATGATAGAAGAGCTTATATGTAGGAAACGCCTATGGGACTAAAAATGGCTGCTGCTGCCAATGGCGAAAATGTCAGTATTAAGGTTGTTAGCTGTAGTCTGTTTGTGTCCACTTTTGAAAATCACTGTCGTGAAATAAATTCCTCCCATTGCTAAGCGTAGAGTCGGCCGTGTAGAGTCCCACGTGAGAAGGAGCTCTGTTCTGATGAGCTCTGGGGATTCACCTTGGGGCACATATTGAAAGCTGGGCTTGCTCTGTCCACAGTGTGAATGTGAGGTGCCCTAACTCCTGATCAGCCATCATTCCAGCCTCAGATTGTGCCCCCCTTTCAGGTATCATGAAGGACCAGGACATTGCCTATTTCTTTGAATAGCCTCTATCCTGTCGCCAGTAACATTTTTGCATCCCAGACAGCCACATTTTACGTCAGATCATGCGAATACAGCCTTCAAATGTGACTGTCATCCAGGCCTTGTTATGTGTGGCAGGAACAAGCAAGTGGAAACTTACTTGTGTGTTGATGGTCATGGATCTTGGTGGCAGGGAGTGTGGTCAGGGCTCGGCTCACACGTGCAGTTGGCACATGTGGGGCTGCTCTGTGTAGGACAGGTGTGGCAGCATGCCATCTGTGTGTTCATTTGTACGTTTGCTGTCTGTAAAGCAAGAGGACCAGTATCCAGGCCCAGATCCACCCTTGCTGGGGGGACAGGCCTGACGCAGAGAGGGAGTCTGGCTGCCTGCTTTTGAGCGTGGAAGCCGTGAAGGGTTCTATCAGTTTTTTGGTTCTTACTACCTTGGCAGTCAACCGAGTGACTATTTCCCTAAGCCTGGTATGTTAGACACTAGAGTCATTCATTCTTTAGGGATGCTTAGCCTTCCTAGGTGGCTCAGTGGTAAAGAATCCACCTGCCAGTGCAGGAGACGCAAGAGATGCAGGTTCAATCCCTGGGACGAGAAGATCCCCTAGAGGAGGAAATGGCAACTTGCTCTGACATTCTTGCCTGGAAAATTCCAGGGACAGAGGAGCCTGGAGGGCTGCAGTTCATGGGGCCACAAAGAGTTGGACATGACTGAGTGACCAAGCATGCCCAGCTCACCAGACCTCTCGGGCTTACAGGCCTTGCTTGGAACAGACAGGGACATTGGGTGTGCCCTTTGCATCACATGTTTGGTCTGGACGTTAAAGCATGTTTGCAAATAGGTGCTTTCAGCAGTTTGACTTGCCCTGTGCTTCTCAATTCCTGCCTTCTTCCTACAGCAGTAAAAGTCTGGGGAATGGCTTATTTTGGGAGATGAAGAGTTTTTTCATCTAGGGAAATTTAGGTATCACCCCAGTCAGCCTCCACAGCTTCCTGTTATCAAATAGCAAAAACAGAAAACAAAACCCTGACTTTCTAGGCACGTGTAGCTCTCTGCACCCTGCCCTTACTACCAGATTCTTGCCACCGATCTAGCAGGATCTGAGAATTCAGGGTTCTGAGCTCTGTGCCCCAACTAGGCTCCAGATAAGCCATAAGCAGGTGAACTCAGAAATTTGGGCAGCCGGAGTGTTGCCTCTCATGTACCTACTTGCCTGTTTCACCTCTTTATAAAGTAAGTGGGGCTGGGCAGGAAGGATGTTCCCATGTGCCAACCCCAGGGACCCGGATCTGGATTTTGAGTGTTGGAGAATGTGGGTTGTAAGCCCTGGAGCCAGACAGCTCCACCTCCTGTTCAGCAGCTTAGCATGACCAGCTGCTGTTGGAAGGAGGTGTTCCCCCAGCCTGTGTGTCCCTCCCCCTCCTGCAGGAACCAGAGGATGGCTGGCTGCTCTTTCATTCCACCTGGCCTTCACCTCCTTTTCTGGGGCTGTGTCTTGGCCTTCCTGACTCCTGCAGGAAATCAGGAGACCGCCTGCAGGCCTCTGAAGGCCCCTCAGTTTTCCACAGCCCCGCCGCCTGTCCAGCTCCTGCTCCCCCATGGCTGGTGAAGCACCCTTTCCTGAAGTGCTCAGGAGGAGGGGGTCAGTATGGAGCCCCCCAGTCAGCAGACTTTGATGAGCTGCTGGCATCCAGGCCATGCCCTTTGGGCTGCCTGCAAAGGGTCACCTTGCCCTCTCTCCTTAGGGTCTAGGCTGGACAGCCTAGATGTTTGTGTTTTAAAATAAATTAATTAAAGTATACAATTTCTAAACTGACACACCTGTGTGTGCATGTATGTTAAGTCGCTTCACTTGTGTCTGTCTATTTGTGACACCATGTACTGTAGCCCGCCACGCTTCTCTGTCTGTGGGATTCTCCAGGCAAGAACACTGGAGTGGGTTGCCATGCCCTCCTCCAGGGGATCTTCCTGACCCAGGGATCGAACCCGCGTCCCCTGCATCTCCTGCATTTCAGGTGGATTCTTTACCACTGAGCCAGCAGGGAAGCCCAGCGTACCTGTATGTTACTGTTAAAAGTTTCAAACAGTGCAGAAGCAGCATTATGAAGTAGTTGGTAGTCCTTCCAGAATGCTCCTCAATTATTAAATCTTCGTC